CTTGGAGCATCTGCCACTGGTATTTCTCCAGAGGCGGCGAGAACAGAGCTAATCCTGCCTTTTCTTAGCAGAGAGTGGGCTTCCGCCTATCTGTCAAGTTACTAGAAGAAACATACTCAGGAACTGAAGTTTTATTGTCTCACATTCATTACTGTAGCTCAAAAGTGTATTATGGTGACACTTTTAGTTTTCATACTTCCGTAGGAACTGAATTATTTTGCTCTTCATTTGTCGCATAGGGAAAGCGAACATAGAAGTCTATAAAGTGCTCCGTGAATATCCTAAACCTGCTTAAACATACAGTGCATTTCATAAAGTTTTTTAAAGAATTTGCCTCCCAGTAAAATCAGTTCTTGGAGTGTTAAAAGAAAAAATTGAAGGTTAACTGGAACAACCTAACCTCTTGAACTAAGTTCCTCATGCAAAAAGGCAGTATCAAACTAAATACAGTATGTGCAGGATATATTGGAAGATTCGTGCATAAAACAGATGGTAATTTGCAACAGCTAGATTTAAGTGACTTGTGGGATTACTTCACTGGTCTCGACAGAGCACCATATCTCTGTCCACAAAATATTTCAGGTAAATGTTGTAACCATCAGCTTTTTCCTTAAGAAAGTGTTCTCCACTTCCTTGTGTAAGGAACTGAGTAATGCTGGTCTTAGGCAAGCTGGGGCTTGTGTACAAGGGATGTGTATTTCTAGTCTTGGAAAGGAAAGAGATGCTAGGCATCCTCAGAGCAAAGCAGGACAGGCAATGCTGAAGTCAAAGAGGTAGGTTCCTACAGGGTTTAAACTCAGCAGAACTTTGGACATCACAATTTTACCTAAAGAAGCCACAGCTGAACTTAGCTCCTGTGTTTGGATAATGCTCTACAAGATCTTGCTCCTTGTCAGATGATTTGTTTAGACTTCATGAGCTTTAAAGCTCCAGCAGCTAAGATTTTCAAGTAGGTTATGGGAGATGCAGAGCAGCTGTAACTTTTTCCCTCAGCTCTGCTGGTGGGCACATCTTGTTTGAAAACCCAGCTTGCATAACCTTCCAGGTCAAGTAATTCTGGGATATCTTGATCCCTTTGAAGTGGGTCACTTCGGGCACAAGAGCTGCTGGTTTATACGGTTACCTGGTACAGGCAACAGAAGCTGAAAAACTCCCTTAGCTGCCATGCACCAGTCACATGAGGTTACCAACCCTCATAAGGGAATATGGAGAGAAAATTCAAAGCGACTGTCGGAAAAGACAGCAATTAATAAGCACAATTTCCTTTCGTTTCTTCCAGATCTGGGTGATGAAAGGGCCAGGCCTCGTTAAATTGGTTGGGGACGGTGAAAGCCTGTGCAGCATGTCACAGAGAAGGGGAAATGTGTGAATTTAGGGAATAGATTATTCAGCTTTGTGAAGATGCTGAAGACTTTGTATTTTGTTTAAATTAGGTTATTGATTTGCTTTTTCTTGTGCACAATGAAGAAGTGTGGCTCAGTGGTGCTTTAGTTGAAGCTACAAATAAGCAAGACAGTCCCATTTAAGAGAAGAAATCTTTTGTGTGAATTTATAAACAAAAGGCTGAAGGAGGCAAGTGAAGAGGTCACCTCCTCTGGTTCCACAGCCTTGTAACGTGGCTGGGTCAGGTAGCTCCATACTGCCAATTACAGTTCCATATGCCAACTCTTTCAGGACATAATTCTGCATGGGCTAATCTTTTTGCTCCAAGAAAGAGACTTTGGGCATCCCTTGCCCTCCCTTCCTGGGTGTCCTGGGTTCAGCAGTAGCAGTCATTTTTCCCCTTCTTGGTAGCTGGTGCAGTGCAGTGTTTTGACTTTCAGCTTGGGAACAGAGCTGATAACAAGCGATGTTTTGGTTTGGCCAAGGACTTTGTGAGCCTCATGCTCTGCCAGGGAGGAGGGGAAGCCGGGAGGAAGCAGAGACAGGACACCTGACCCAAACTGACCAAAGAAGTATTCCATACCACAGCACGTCATGCCCAGGATGCAACTGGGAGTTAGCCGGAAGGGCCGGGGACTGCAGGGTTGGAGGAGGTATCGGTCAGAGCTTGGTCGGGCTGGGGGGGGCGAGTTATCGGTCGGCTGGTGGTGAGATGATGTATTCTCTTCCCTTGTTATTTCCTTTATCATTATTATCATTGGTGGTAGCAGTAGTGATTTGTGTTATACCTTAGTTACTAAACTGTTCTTATCTCAACCCGTGGGAGTTGCATTCTTTTCGATTCTCCTCTCCGTCCCTCCGAGAGCAGGGGGAGGGCAAGAAAAGGGGGGGAAGTGAGCGAACGAGTTACCTGACTGGGTTTAAACCACGACACTGGGAAACAAGCCATGCCACAGCCAGTGTCCCCTAAGCACTGGCGCAAGTGGATCCTGCTTGCAGAGTCATTGCTGCTGCTGCCAGCCCCAGTGGCACAGGAACTGCTGGAAGAAGGGCAGGCTTGGAGGATGAACAGGACACAAGAACTGAGCATAAGCAACTGTGGGTATGTCCCTGTGTGACTGTGCTGCATTTTTAATGTGTAAAATACCCACTGAACCCAACCCACTACAAATTGCCAGTTCCTTTACCTTCTTCTGTGTAGGTTACTAAGCATCTACTAGATTATTATAAATACAGTAGGCAGACAAGGAATTGTTGCTTTGGGAACAGGTGACTGGCTCTGATTCCCACTCCTATTAGAAATCTTAAATAACTTAACAATGATATGTATTTTTCCTGAAATATCTATTGGATCATTTACAATGTCAAAAATATTCTCTACAAATATTGTAGTTTTCTTACAACAATTTCCATAGTAGTCTTTTTAATACCTTGTTTTCATTCAGTTTAAAATTATATAGGGGTTTGTGTGTGCAGTAATGAGAATGTGAACCATGGTACTTCATGTAGCTAACCTACAATCAGATGAGTCCCACATGAATTCAGAGCCCTCTATGCCTCCACATTTCACAGCTGCCTTTGTCAGTGAGGAACTTCAACACCTGAGTTACTGCTGCCAGCATCTAGATTTAGCCACAGAACTATCTCTTATGAAAGCCATTTTCCCTTTCTTTCTAGCCTATACTTATGTTGCTTCCTTTTCCACAGCTCTGTATGCCTCTCTTAATTTTCCTGTTTTCTCCCACACTGCCATTCACCATCGTTCTCTGAGTTCTTAAGGCACTGGAGAGCATATATCTGCAGCCTGTCAGCTGTCTCCCTGATCCATTTTCCACACAAACTGTTCTGCTACCTTGCCTTGTCTTAGCAGGGCATCTTTTAGCACTTCTTCTTCTTTCTTTGACACTAAGGTTATTTTGTTTATCTATTTTTTCATACTCAGCCTTGTATATCTGAAGCTTTGTGCCTCCTGCAGTGTGCCAGACATCTGTACTTCCTTCTTGCACATCCTTCCAAATTTGTGTTGTCAGCTTAGCTCTTTCCCCACAAATTTCATTTTGAAGCAGCTCATTCCTGCTGTCATGTTTTAGGGCTTTTGGACAGCCCTATAGGGGTGCAATGTGAGAGGATAGCAGCTCTCCTGTCCACCCCATGTCCAGCTAATGCTGCTTGCTACAGGGCGTTCCCCATCACAAAGGTGTGTTTGTGTACTCTCCCCTTGCTCTTCCTTCATATTCCCAACATCATGCTTGCATCTGGCTCTGCTGTAGCTTAAATACACCACTTGCACCAAGAAAATACTACAATTTAGTACAGACCAACTATCCTGACAGGAGTAAATCTAACCCTACTAGCCCATGGGAGCTTGTGTGCTGCTCTCAGCTGTAGTGCATCTGATTTAGGACACCACCCCGCAAAGTCTGTATTCACAGGATCAAGATTCTCCATTCTGGAGAGGATGGTTTCAGACTCTGCAGACTAATGGGACCAGGAAGTTATCTTAGTTACTTAGTTATCACAGACCACTACTCTGTGTAACTTTAATATTTCAGCAAAACATTCTGGGATGACAGCATAGGTTTTAACTTTTATGGGACAGCCCATATCAGTGCATTTAAATCTGTGGAACCTCTCTGGTGGTCTTCAGGGATCAGTGTTCCCCATCAGGCAAATGTTATAGTAAAAACAACGACCCCTCATACTTAAAGTTGTAGTAAAAAGGGAAATGACATTCACATTACACTACCTGCTCAGAATTACGGTCTTTCTTTCTATGAATTGCAGGAGCCAGTGCTTTACACTTTGATTGTCTAGAAATATATTACAAGTGACAAGAGTAAATTCTAATTTACACCATTCTGTGTGTGCCCCTGGTAACGTCCCAGCCCATTAACATCAGGCTTTGTGGTGTTCGTCCTTGCCTTCTGTGGCTGTCCAACTCTCATGCTTAGGTCAGGGCTATGTCGACCCTTGTGCAATAACCTTTCTTCCTGTTTTAAAGTACATATATTTTCCTTCCTATACTGTCTCCGTTCCACCCTTTTGCTGTACCAGAGTTCAAAATTCAGTGAGGTAGTGCCAGCAGACCAAATCTTGCTTTGTTACAGAAAAGTGAATGCAGACTTATGCTCTTGTATGTGATGGATCAGTGCCCTGCTGTTACTATAGCCAGCACTCAGCTTGATGTGCAGCCTCTGAGGCAATAACTCAATGTGAGCTGCTCCCTAAGCACTCCAAAATGCGTTCTTTCATTTTTTTATGGGGAAGACATAAAAGCTCTATTGATTAAACCACAACAAGCTAAAATAAACGCAACAACTTTCCTAGTCAAGTAGAAACTGAAGGATTAAAAGGAAATGCATATTTCCTTCTGCAGGATATCTATGGGTTTCTCTTCTGCTGCTGGTCCTTATGGCTCTTTGAAGCCATGTAGTCTTGTGGAGCGCTGAGATGATGCTGCACATTCCGTAACAACTTCTGTACCTGGCATTAACAAGCCTTTGGCCTAACTGGTAAACGTTTTCAGTTTTAGTGTTTCCCAGAAATGAAAACCGGAGACAGTGACAACTTTCAGGATACAAAATGAATGTCATGCTTTTTTACCCCTTCCTCCTTACCTGCTTAAGGATTTCTGCTGCCGTTTCATGTGAGCAATCAAATATCACGTAGAACTCCTTGCCCTTCTTCATCTCCTTGAGTAGAGGCCTGGCGTCTTTATTCCCAGAGGGCAGTTGGCGGATTTTGATTTTAATGTTGTATCTAGAAGGGGCTTTGATGAGCTCTTGCAAGCGAATTAGACCTGAAAAAATGATGTGCAATTATATAACTAACTATTCTCTGCAACGAGTATTTACTGTCACTTAAACAGGGTCTCTTATCAGTCCCAACATATTTCAAATGTCCAGAGGATAGTTGTTAGCTTCATATTTGCCAGCCTCCTAAATGATATCATTACAGATTTTCCTTTTCATGGTTACACTTGGCTTCAGCACCTAAATATTCTGAAATATATTTTTAAATGGTTGACTAAAATATATGCTTGAATGAATGCTATATTGATAGTTTATTGCAAAAAGAATATGATGCTTCTCACTTTGCAGTTAATTATTATTTTGATATTAAACAACAAGAACATACAAGTGAAGAAACCTCCTTACTAACTTTCCTGCCTAATGTCAAGCATGAGCAGGTGAGGGGAGGTAGAGAGAGAAAAATGTTCCATATCCAGCACTTCTATTGTGGCTCACTTAGAAGCCAGTGGTTAGCCTGAGTGGCACTTACCAAGATTCATTCTTAATAGCCATCCATATGACTCTCAATGTCCTCATTTCAGCATACACTACAATACTCCAGAGGAGAAGCCTTAAATTTTTATTATCATCAGTTTAGGGACAAGAAGCAAGGAAGCATAATGACTTGCATAAGGTCAATCAGCCAGAATGAGATCTTATAAAGAACTGAAATACTTTAAGATCCAGCTTTTCATCTATAAGCAGAAGAACGAGATTTCTAAGACCATGTCTTCGGCTCTACAGATTTATACAGCTTATTTGAAGTCAGTGGACCTCAACACTTGAAGATTTGTCCAAGTGTTTAAACACAGTGCAATTCTACTAGCTAATTCAGCACTCCTGTGTCATTTGTACTGCCTCCAAAAGATAAGTAAGATAGATAGTTAAGAATTTTTTGAGGTGTGTGTTTACAGCCTCTTTCTCATTATCCATGAATGCAATTTACCTTCAAAAAAACTGTGATCTTCCACTGAGTTAAAGCAAAATGATGCCTTATATATATGAACAGAGAGAGGATACAGGCAAGAAGCACTTCTTGAACAAAATCAAACAAATTATTAATATTAAAAAACTCATCACTCTCCTGCTGGGAGTGGGTGTATATTTGTCTTGTGTGTAAATGACCTTGGTCCAATGGTATATATAAGGCAAGATGAAGCATCCCTATTTCTTCTGAAATTAGCGAGTGATTGCTATGTTGAGGACTTTTGGCTTTCACTCAAGTGTTGGCAATGTGTTTTGAAAAAAACTAATCTTTCCCCTCCGCCTGCAACGCTTGGTCTGCTCTTTGCAGGTTTTCAAGTATCAACAATCAATACAAAATATTAAGCACTATGAGTATTCAAATGTAAATTGTTGCACAGGCTGTTAGATCGGAGACTGGCTGGAAGCCAGCCTGTGTAAATATGAAAAATTTGAGCTTATTATTATGAGAATGGGGCACATATTCCAACACTTACTAATAAGAAGGGGAGTTTATGTAATCTGGCTGTAAAGCTGTAGCTTGGCTGTACCATGCACTCAAGTGTTCAGCCCTTGACTGCAATGTTTTGGTCACTATAATGAATGGTGAGCCTACGGAAAAGGAATGTTGAGATTTGGAGGAGGGGTCCAGCACTCAGGAAATCTGCATCTTATAGAGCCTCAGGCTGAGTACTGTTTTACTCTTTCCAGCAACAGAAAGTACTTAAGTGCAAGTGCGGTGAAAAGCAAAGAGAAAGAATTTGCCTGCCTGCCTCCATTTCCTTTTGGGGGGAAGGAAAATGCTGTGTCCCGTAATACGTCAACTTCAGTTACATGACACTTAGACCTTACTCTTCCTATCATTTTCTATTGCCACATGAACTGAAGGTAAAGCCTAGATATAGTGTACTGAAGAAAACAAAGCAGCAGTGAAAAGAACAGAGAAGCAGTGAAAAGAACTGCAGTTATTAATATAGAGGACCAGGCAAACGCCTGAATCAACTAACTCATTAACAGCACAGGGTTAATAACCATCAGTGCTCTCCTTCCTCTTGCTCAATAAACCCAAACTCCTGAACATGGTGCCACCAAGTCTTGATATGGAACAAATCTTAAGCATGAAGTGTTTAGCTTGACTCCTTGGGGGAGTGGGGAAGTGCAGTGCTTAGGGCAGCCCCTTTTCTCACACTTGGCGAGACCATCTGGAGCTCAGCCTGCAACAGAGAGGACACAGCACAGACTACCAATGATGTTGGGAAGGAAGTAGCAGCACAGAAATGACATATCATGGGCATCAGCATCTTCTCTGCAAAGTGGGTGATGTGAGCAGTGACTCAGGACTGTGATGGAGCAGGAAAGTGGGTAGGAAAGATATAGAGTCCAGCTGAGTAGAAGATGTGGTGGATGAGCATGAACTGTGGAGGGCCTGGAGACAGTGTTAGCCAGTATTGTTGAGAAGAAATGTTCAATTTATGGCTTTCAAACAAAACATATAAGGACAGAAACCAGACTTGTTTCATGGACTGTCTTGACCTTCTGTCTATATTCTGCTGCCTTGTACCTGGACATCTAAACACTCTCCCCTTTTCCTTCAGAAACAGGGTTGGGAATTTTCTGTATTGCCTTTTTTTTTATTTTTTTTTTTTTAATTAAAAAAAGGTATATGTAATTCATCCAGACTTAAAATTGCAAAAAAAGCTTTGCGAGAAAGAACTCCCTTTTATTAGAAAACTGTTTTAGGGCTAGCAAGTTAAATGTCTCTTGTAACAGCAAGTTCAAAGAAAGCAAATTCAGTAAGAACTCAAATTCTGCTTTGTGCAAACTGATAGAACTGATACGATGAAAAAATTTCATTTCTCTGAGCCTTAAACAAATGCCGGGAGAGCAGTCTAACAAGTGGGGATAGTCAAGGATTCTTACAGGAGGTGAGGAATTTGATGTAGTTGCACTTCTCAGCTCCCAGTATGTTAAAATTATTGAATTCAGGGAAGATAAATCAAAAGCAGAGTCAAACCTGTGCTGAAGGCAGTGTTATTCCTTGTGATGGAGTTGTTGATAACAGACTCTCATGTGTCTATTACAGATCAGTGTACCAAATAAAAAAGTGCAGAAATGGGATATTGCAAGGGTTCTATTACAAATGACTAAATTCAATCAGGGAACAGCATGTCTACTCAGTTCTAGCATGTGGAAAGATAAACCATAATTTATGGTACCTAAGTTTGGGAAATGTATGCTCGATGTATCATGCAGTCTCTTGCAAGGCTTAGTCAGATCATCTTTAAACTTCAGGAGGCAATTTTTTGCCTTACACAAAGGCATCAGACTTGATATAAACATACTCTTTTTTAACACCTTGATGAAAAATAAAGACAAGTTAATAATCAGAAAAAGGCTGATTATGGTCTGGGGACTCTGAACATAATAGATTACGTTTAATATGGAAAAAAGGAGCACCATGTCAACTTGAAAAATAAATATGCTTGCTTATGAGTCTCATTTTTTCCTAGGACAGGAGATCTACAGGCATTAGGGAGCAGGATGGGAGTTTCAGGCAAACTATGAGATGTTTAAATAAATATTTATTCTATAACCAGAAGCCATTAATTTGCTATCAAGAAAGATGACTTTGACTGGAAGTTCATCTTTCAATGGCACTACTATGAGGACAGCAATTAGAAATAAAAATCAGCTGTAGCCTGCTTGTTATTCATATTTATACTGAAATCTAAGAGACAAGAGGGTAAAAATCTGATCAGATCAACTCAGGAAACATAAGGAATTTTTGTAAATGTATTTTAGCAGCAAAATGAGCATTTTATAACTGCTGTAGGTCCCTTTGGAGGAGACAGTAAAGTTGTTTAACATGGTGCATTTGGTATCACTAAAATGATATTTTATAAGAAACAGGATGAGCACTTCCCATTCCAAGTGTAATTTTTTAACACTATTGGTTGCCAGTTCTCTAGACCTGCTTACATAAAATTTACTTATCATTGACAATCCTATACAGTCCACTCAGTAGATTACTAAACTCAGCAAATGATGTGATAAATATTGGAACCCTGAATGAATTCTAGAAGACTGGAAAAAGTGCTGATGTTTCATTGACATCAGAGAAGGCATGTGAGATAGCATAGAATGGCTTAACCCCAGTGTTGGCAGCGGGCAAGCAAAGAGCAAAGCTGATATGGTGGTAAAATGCTGAAGAATGAAAATTTGGGACTACAGTTAAAAGCTGTCAAATGAAGACAGCTCTGCTTTTCTTTGGTGTAACAAGTGCTGTTGACACAGGTAGCTTCCTAGATGGAAAGCACTTTTCCCTGGGACATGTCTGTCTTCATATGTCATACAACCTGCTCATGAACAATGTGGGACTATATAACCATTTGCCAAATCTCAAAAAACATATGTTACTGAGAAAGCTTTGTTAAACAGCAGAGGTCTGTAAAGGCTGGAGCTAAGCTGTTCAGACATTTGTAGTGCTCTTATATCTGTAAACCCGAAAATCATTGACTGGAAAAAGGTTATTGCTGAAAAACATTTGAATGATAAAAACTGGAATCATGGTAAATAGTGTTTGAGATAAGAAGGGTAGGCACAAGCAATTTGGATCGTTTGGAAACATGCGCTCACTCAGATGAACTGTTTTTTTTTTAACATTGCTCAGTCCAGACTTGTAACTGCATTTCTGTTGATGGATGTGTCCATCATCAGTGAAAACTATCTACAGGAGGTGGGCAACTATGGCTTGGCAAATTGTCACAGTATGTGGCCTCTGTGCTGGAGCTGGCTGTGGGCTTGGAGCAATGCTGTAATGTGAAGGATGAAAACAGGATTTTCCACACTTAAACCTCAAAATAGACTCTTAACCTTGAGCAGGGCTAATCTCAACCTGAATAATCTGGGTATGAATTATTGGAAGCTCACTGTTAGAGCTATGAGTTCATTGTTTAGGAATGAAGCTGTTCTTCATGTACAATTTGTCTCTAAGATAAAAATAGGTTAATATGGTTTTTCTTCTTGCGGTGCAACAGTGCCAGACATAAGAGATAAGTAAAAAGAGGCTGAGCTAAATGGCATCACTCTAACCCAAAATCCAAAAGTATTTATATCGATCAAAGTTGACCTGTTTACTTTCCTGACTCAAAGTTGTAAATATCTCTGCAAATGAAATCTCTTTAATATTAGTCATTTCTGTAACTGAACACGTACACAGCGCTTAGTGTTCTAGAATCCTAATTTGATAATGATAATAGGGCAGGCTGGAAAGGACCTCTACTTTTTTACCTATGAGTATATTTAGTATATTTTTAGAGCGCAGCAGAAATCCTGCTGAGCTAGATCATTCTAATGGAAATGCAAGAAGACCGTTGCAGTAAGCCCAGCCTGTCTTGCTCTTTCTCTTCTACCTCCAGCCTTTCTTGCTCTTTCTCTTCTACCTCCAGCCTTCTGGTGTACTCTCTGAGTCCAATGAAAGCAGAACATTGTCACTGAGACCCACCTCCTGGACCCAGGAGGAAATATGCTTCTTTTGGGCTGTCAACAGTGTACAAAGAACTTTTGGCCTTATAAATGAGGTTTGGCTCTTTTTTTTTTTATTTATATTTTTTAAGCATAATTTGATCTTTCAGACATGTTTTTACAACATGATTTTAAAAGGTTTGATTTATATTTTTTCATACTCCCTTTAAAGCTTAGGCAGATGCCTGAGCTTATGTTTCATCCAGGTTTGTTTTACACCATCAAAGAACCTATTTAAATGTTACTTGCACATCTGAGGAGCTCTAGGAAGTGTAGTACTTCTGTGGGCAATGGAAAAAGAAAAGGGAATGCAAACCTCAGAGTGGGTTTGATAGTGAAATGCTTAATTTGCACCAATAACTGCTAATGCACAACAGGATTTTGCAGAAATCCAAATGGTTCAGCTGCAACTTTTTTTTTTTTGTTTGTTTACTATATACAGCATTGAAGGATGCTGATGAGAGTTCACAGTGAGATAACTGTCAGTGTAGTCTTATTTTGTTGGCTTTATTTTCTTCATCTTTAAAGACACAGTGTCTCCAAGAAAATCTTTTCTGCAATTTAGAATATTCTCTCATTTGTAATTTTGTGCCCAAGAAGGCTATACTTAGTGGGGTTTTTTTTTGTTTTGACAGGAGATCTATAGACCTCTCTGAGCTTTTAATGGTTTGTTTACATACAAACCTTTTCTTGGGAAGCCAAATTTATGGACCCTTAATCCATGACCAAGTCTAAACTGTAGGAGAGATTATGCTCTCTGCAGTCATGCTTGGAATAAATTCTGGTGTGTAATCCTGCCGGACAGGACTCCTGAGGGCAGTTTAGGTGTGCAGTAATCTCAATGACTAGAGCAGCTAATACATTTCACAGAAACAATATCTTCCCACTCCAGTGAGGGAAATGACACTGCCTGAAATATTGTGGCTGTTGGCACAATATACGCTATCAAGCTACAGAGGTAGGTACGTAAAAGCCTAGGTATGTAAAGACGTGCAACTGCAGCTTGGAGTTCCTTATACATTGACACTCTTCCACAGTCTCTGTGTATTAAAAAAAAAAAAAAAAAAAAAAGAAGTCCTAGTCTCTGATAAGCCTTTAAATCATTGTTCCGAGGAACAAGTTTATAATTATATTTTTTTTGTTGTTGTTTTGTGAACAAAAAGGGATGTGTTGTAGGTATTGATTGTCCATGATACACCACTGGACAGCTCTGACTACTGCGTACCCCAGAGGGAGGTTGTTGTCACAAAACAATGAATGATTTTCTCTAAGTTAAGAGTTCCAGACTGGGAACATTTACACGCTGTAACTCAGATTCAGGCTTCAGTATCCATCTGACAAGTTGGATTGACTCTAGTTTCAAGGAACAAGGTAGTCACTCCATTAAAAATGTTGCAGCTTGAACTTTTGCATTGTAGATGTGTTCCTCTTAGATCAAACCCTCACTGGTTCCACAAATAGGAAGCAAAATATGGCTTTTTAAGGTCTGATGAAGTGAACAGCTTTCCAAAGCCACAGCAGAAGAATAGCTACAACTTACCAGATGTTTTTCTTCTATACTCTGAGGAAAACTGCTGTAAATACGCCAAACTATCACAGGCTCTCTCTCTCACAGAATTTATTCATATACATGTGTTAACAGAAGTACGTGACCCGCAGTGCACCAGTACTACCTACCCGTGCTGTCTTCATATACTACTGTTACTATTTTCCAGTTGTAGTATAGTACAAGATCCAAAACTGCCCTGCTGATGGCTGCATAGTCTGGGTAGAGGTTGATGTAAAATGCATCTTTGTTGTCCACCGTAGGGTGCTTCCATCTGGTTTGAATATGTGGGACTTCAAGTGCATTGCAAATGGACTGCACTGCACTGACAGAGGAGCTGTGAGAAGGTCCAAACAGAGCAGCTACACCAAGAGCAAGCTGGTCACATGCTGAAGGGGAGAGGAAGGGAGAGGAAAAAGATGCTAGTTGGCAAAAGAAAGGAAACTGTGTGATGTTTATTGAGATAATTATTTTCCATCCATCCCCATCATTTCAAAGTGAGAATGGGTAACCATGTTTCTCCCCAGATTATCAAGAGATTTGTAAATGGTTCCTGAAAACAGCTTTACTGATCAGCATTATATCCCAGAACCTGCTCCATACAAAGACCCCAACTTCCCTGCTCATTACCTTCAGATCACAGTGATTCCTAAACGGTTTTTCTCAGAATGGCATTATTCTGGAGAAACCAGGAGTTTTCTTTCAATGGGCTTGCCAAAAAGATGTCACATGAATTAAGTTTCATGGCAGTGTGTCTGGAAATACTTTTATGGAACCACGAAAAGCACTATATGGATTCCCTCCATGACTGGCAAGCTTCTACCAATGTGAGTTTCTTTAATTTCAGGCTACTGGAGGAACATAAACATTAAAGAGCACTACGATTAATGGTGCTCCATAATCTGTGTTTACAAAATAGGCAATGAAGCCTAAAGCCCTCAGTAATGACAAAGGAAATAAAGAGCCAACACACACTAACATTTTAATACTCTTCCAAATTAGTGATATGCTAGTATCAACAAAAAATTCTTTCTCCTGGTGCCTGTATCTCAGACAAAAGAACCCCTCTTGTAGGTGTCTTTTCACTTTTCTTTCCCTCCTCTGTGTTTTTAGGCTAACAGACAGAAGACGAAGTAATATTATTTTTCAACATTAGAAAAATTCATTGCAAATGTTTCTAATAAGGTTTATGGGTTGGGGACAAGCCCTGTGCTTAGTTGCAGTGCTGTACTCCTTGTAAGGTAGTTCTTCGTGGGAAATTTAGAAATTAGTCTAATTGGGTGAAATATTAAGTATAACAACATCCAGAAAACAATGAGATTTTTTAAATTAGTATTTATCTCTCTGATAATAATACAATATGACAGAAAATCAATTATTTTCTCTTTTCCCTCTATAATTGAGTGTTTTACAAACAGTATAAAATCACGTGATTTCAAGGTTTAATTCAGAAGCCTTCCTAAAGGATCACAGGTTTTAATTTAAATAATATCAGTAATTCCTGATGTGAAGAAATTACTACTGTCAGCATGGATTCCTTGCACATAAATTTACAAAAATATTTGAAATTAACTCCTTCCTACAGATTAAATGGTGAACATACTTCCCCAATAGTCACAGAAGAGATTCTCGCTCTACAGGGAATCTAGAGTCCTGTCTCAGTCTCAATTATATGGATTGTAAATCCAACATACTTATTTTTGATCATGTATTGTTCCAGTATATACTTGAAAAAAAAAAATGCAATAAACACAATTTAAAGCTATTTTTGATGTTTTTTTTGAAAGCCTTCTACATTTTTCCAATCTTTAGTAAGAAATTGAAGTACCATAAAAAGAATTAAGTAACTTAGATGTTTGAAAGGTGATGGATCATCAACATTCTAGAATCATAGAATCATAGAACAGTTAGGGTTGGAAAGGACCTTAAGATCATCTAGTTCCAACCCCCCTGCCATGGGCAGGGACACCTCACACTGTCCAGCCTGGCCTTGAACACCACCAGGGATGCAGCATTCACAACTTCCTTGGGCAATCCATTCCAGTGCCTCACCACCCTTACAGTATAAAGAACTTCTTCCTTATATCCAATCTAAACTTCCCCTGTTTAAGTTTTAACCCATTACCCCTTGTCCTGTCACTACAGTCCCTAACGAAGAGTCCCTACCCAGCCCCCTTCAGATACTGGAAGCTGCTGAGGTCTCCACGCAGCCTTCTCTTCTCCAGGCTGAACAGCCCCAACTTTCTCAACCTATCCTCATACAGGAGGTGCTCCAGTCCCCTGATCATCCTTGTGGCCCTCCTCTGGACTTGTTCCAACAGTTCCATGTCCTTTTTATGTTGAGGACACCAGAACTGCACACAATACTCCAGGTGAGGTCTCAAGAGCAGAGCAGAGGGGCAGGATCACCTCCTTGGACCTGAATGATCCATGATGTGAAGCATGTTTATTTTGCAGCCTTCATTTGCCTTCATAGCAGACGTATCTTTTGCCTTATAGCAAGAATATCTTGTACCACATACAGTGACAGATATCACAGTCAACTGCAAATCACATCTGTAAAGTCTTAGTGACTTATGGGTCTTTTGTCAGACTTGTTTGCATGAGGTTGTGCGCACACCACTGAATTCCAGGAACTAGATTGCTCTCTATAAAATTCTATCAAACTTCAAGCTTGCCTCCTAGAGGCAAAGGAATACATGGTGCTCAAGGAAAGTTGTAACTTTTTTACCTTTCTATTTTGGTCTGCAAGCAATTTAGATGAAAGCAAATTAAGCCATAATCTTCCTTTTGAGACTAAAAGAATAGAAAAAGAAAAAAAATCCAAATTTGTCAACTCCAGTTCTTCTAGTTGTTTATGACAGAGAAATTTACTTCTATCCCTAAACCACTGAAGTGTTACTATTTCAGGACAGGGAGACAACTGGCCTCTGTTCTTTAAAGTACAATAGAAATAATTTTTTAAGTATGATGGATATCTGTGTATGTGTTCTAATTATGGGTTGTGACATCCCACTGTGCTCCCTGTTGGTCTGTGATCATTTTCTGCAGAATTCCAGGTGGCAAATCTATTTTTTGGAAAGAAAAATGGGTTGGACTTGTCACCTTCCATCTGGGGCTCTTAGCATGCAGGGAGGATGTAGGTGTTTTATCAGAAACTAGATGACAGGTCCAAGTCAAGCTTGATTCTTAGTTCAAATAACTTTGAGAGATGAATTTGATGTTACCATTCATATACACATATTACAACTGGAACAAAAAAAAAGGAGACAAGGCTGGGGAAAGGTAGTAGAGAACAGTAATTGAGATAACTACCTCTTCTCGAGGCTTCAAAACTATCAAAAAGGTTAATTCTCTGGATGTCATAGGTTAATGTGGTATTAGGCATCAGTGTTCTGTTTCTATTAATGTTGGTGACTGCAAACTTGAAAGCCAGTTCTTCAGTATTAACAGGTTCATTTTCCACAGTTTCAAATATCCCTCCTGTTGAAACAGAGACAAATAATAAGTATTATTCACCTCTTCATTGCTGTACATAAAAAGAGAAAAATAAATTATGAACAATAATAATCTGAGTGTCCATAAAATTGCTGTTCAAAGCAGTACAGCAAAAACATATTGAACCATTAGTTATTATCTAGAACATCATCGTAGATTAACACAATATTATGAATGTTGCTTAGACTAACATCTATGAAAGATGACACGTGTATTATTCAGATCTTTCAAAGGAAAATTTGTAAATGCTTGTGTAAACTTCTGTCAAGTTCTTAACTAACTAAAGTAGTGATATTCATAGGTCTTGTTCCTCCTGCTCCAATCTAACCTATGTTAGGAGATGAAACTTGGATGTGTTGGAAATATTTTTTGAAGTGTTTCTGCAAATCCTGGCAGTACAAGATCCATATTCAGAAGTGTGTTAGGAGCTTGAGTAGAAATGGACTTCAAGTTTCCACTTGAGATCTGTGTCTTAGTAGGGCTTTGTTTTTTTATAAACCTCAGGCAACACTGTTGGTTATTTCTCAGTTTGCTCAGGGGCAGGTGAATATTTTTACTTTTTCAAAGCTCATTGCTGAATGAACTGAACTTGTTCAGATAGAAGATTTCACCTCTGCGCTGAAGTACTGAATGATGTCTCCAGTGGTATAGTATCTACCAGCACCATCATGGCACTGGTTTAAATGTCTCCTCACAAGGACAGTGCTGGATACAGCACAACTGCCCCAACTTCCTATAATTCCTCTAGAACAGAACCTGTAAATAACCAATCTGAATTTGACTGTAAATATCCAATCTGAGTTTTGGAAGCATAATGGACTTCTTTGGCATATATTCTGAGATGGGGAAGGTGGCTGTGTTTCAAGTCAACAGGCTGTCCCACTTATACTGGAATGTCTACTCCCTCTAGCCTCTAGAGACTTTATTATACCAACAACATATTCAGACTGTCTGGGAGCATTGGGATTTGATGAATGCATAATAAACACAGTTAATTTGAAAAAAAATAGCTCTTTTAAACACCAATCTTCAGCTTCAGTACTTGATTTTGCAAGTATAATTTACTCATTTAGTGCAAGTCACTAGAGAATACTTTGTATTTCTCAGTTACATATTTTTATACTTCCCCATGTGAAATCTGAGCCCTAGATATTGCTTTATATTTTCTGAGCATCAGAATGTATTCAGCTAATGTGCTGCAATCTCTTGCAATTTTGATGCCACCAGCGTAGGAATAGGGCAGTCATTAGCTGACAATCAGGAAATGGAACACAGTGGAATTAAAACCTGTTTCGAATTTTAACTTAGCAATGAAAACACTGGAGGCTATGAAACCTAAGTTGGCAATGTAATCTCTAGGTACTTTTGAATATGCAGCATTATATTATATTATCTCTCAAGCCCATATATAACAACACCTTAACATGACCTAAGCAATTTGCCAACTTAAGCAATTTTCTTGCTCACTATATCTCTTTCTCATTTACAATACACATTTATTAGAACCTTAAAGACTTTCTCATTTTTTCCTTTCTCGTAAAACATACAAGGTGATTACAGGAGACTGTGACACACAGAAATAAATGGAAAAAATTGAAGTGTTGCTTTTGGAACCAAATGTAAAACCTCATGTGGAATGCAAAGATGCAGCAGGATTTTTGAGATTTGCAAACTATAGGATCACCAGAAGGAAAAAAAGAATCTAAAGCCTGTTCTTTCAGATCCTATAATTCCTCATTTCAGTAATGATATTAACCACTTTTTTAATTTTCTAGTTAAACAAAATTTGCTTTCCTCCCTTTCACCTGAGAAAGACAAGTATTTTCAGTGAGCTATAATGCCAGCTTCGTCTTAGGCCATCAAGATACAACTGCTGTGCTTTGCTTGGACCCCTACAAGAATTAGCAGAACGTTGCTTCATAAGGCAAGGTTGATGTCACTGAGTATAATGGACAGCCTGAGACAATTATTTAATAAGACAGGGCAAACGCCATCTCTCCTAACTTTCAATAAGATGAGTCTCTTAGCATTTGATTGTGGCAAAAAAAATATTCTCTATCATCTTGGAAATCATTATTATGCTAGGCCTGTATTTTATTTTATTTTAAAATTAAAACAACTTCATTTCAGGGGTGTTGGAACTAGATGATCTTAAGGTCCTTTCCAACCCTAACTGTTCTATGATTCTATGATTTAACCACCTTGAGGTAACTTTCATACCTATACATACACAAGCACTTTCTCATTCTAGGATCAGAACTTTTTCCAGACCTCTAATCAGTTTCCTATTTAATAGAGATTAATTTTAATCAGTGTATATCTATGAACTATTTGTACTTCATTGGCAGAATTTTGCAAATTTTTGCTTGATCCCCTTTAAAAAAGAGTAGAAGCTTACTGGGCAGAGGAATGAGTGGAAGGAAAGGAATGACGGAAAGAGTCAAAGTTTTGCATGGATGTGTTTCCTAAGCAAACTAATCAAAACTATATATGCACTATCACATACATTTCAGATCTTCAGAGAGGTCTCTTTGGAAGTCAGCGGGATAATCAATATGTTGGTACCCCTTCAACATATTTTCAAGGTTCCTTTTGTACATGTTAACATATCAGTAAAGCACTTAGAACTTTGGCTGCACACTTTAATTTGATGGTAAGGTGCTCAGGATAGGTCTGAGCAAATGGGACAGATAGTCAAGAAGTTCATAATTTTACACAGGAAATTTTGTTCAGCTGATGGAGATGCTGAATAGGGTGCCATTTAGAGTCTCAGAAAGCTAGTGCTATTCCCTCCCCAGTAGAATCATAGAATCATTAGGGTTGGTAAGGACCTTAAGATCACCTAGTTCCAACCCCCCTGCCATGGGCAGGGACACCTTACGCTAAATAGTATCACCCAAGGCCTCATCCAACCTGGCCTTGAACACTGCCAGGGATGGAGCATTCACAGCCTCCCTGGGCAACCTGTTCCAGTGCCTCACCACCCTAACAGGAAAGAATTTCCTCCTTATATCCAGTCTAAACTTCCCCTGTTTAAGTTTTAACCCGTTACCCCTTGTCCTGTCACTACAGTTTCTAATGAAGAGTCCCTCTCCAGCATCCCTATAGGCCTCCTTCAGATACTGGATGGGGAAGTCCTGAGACTACAAAAGTCATTCTTCCAAGTCAACAAATATTTACTTGACTGAACGTTCTCCTGATTAAACCCTAAAATAAGTACCAAGTACTGCCTTGCTGCCCATGAACAAAGTCCGTGAGATAGTTTATGGAGGAAATAGTTGCTTACTGTGAGTGAAGTCTGGAATAGATGCATTGTGAAAAGTTTGAATTGCTACCTATTTGAGCTTGATTTTTCTGTTGGCACATATATGCGTAGAAGAGTTGATAAGTCCATAAATCTGCATCACAAACAAGCCAGCAGATAAAATGTCTGTCCTATGTAGAAGTGTTTCATGCATGTATCCTTAATGAAATTTAATAATTTAGTAAAGTTTCACTTTTCTCATGTTCTGCTGATGACTGACAGTCAAGCTTAGAATTTATTGTAAGGTCCAGGTTAAAAGAGAAACAGCAGAGTAAATGACAAGTTTGATGAACCAGTTTGTCAGAGGATTCCTTTAAAAAAAAGTAATTACTGTACAACATTTTAAAAACAAATTAACCACAGGATTCTACAAGGAAAGAAAAAACTTTATATTAACTCAAGATATACGAGGCTATTATTGCTAAGCACAAAACCAAGCACTGGTTTTCAAAATAGGCTGCTAGTAGCACACATATGGGACAAAGCTTAAATTTTTGAGCCCTCCCTTTCACCTCCTCCCCAGTTATTCGATCAGGTAGTGAATCCGGTGCAGGAGCTTCAGCCGACCAAAGGCTGCTTAATCCTGGTCAGTGGCAGACCTGGCCTTTCTTCTGCATAGGTGCTACGTCTGCCCCCCATGATGAGTGGTATCAGCCATCTGAGTCATCAGGAGGCTGCCTACAAGAAACCAGATAAGTGACAGAGCTATAGGGGTTGCTCTGCTTCACATGGAAGTCAACACCTCCCCTCTGGTACAGCTGATAAGCAATTCCAGATGTAGGTTACCTGATCCTGCCAAGTGCAGGGAGTAACTATGCCAGCCACATGTGAGAACATCAGTAGCAGAACCCAACATTTGCATTAGATTAACTTAACCGGTAATCCTGCTTCAGCACACATGTGTGAGGAAGCCTTTCACTGTCAGCATTTACTTTATAAAGTGATGTCTGAGAGGTTGAAGGAAAAAAGCTGTATATGCCCCTACTTTGAATTTAGCTGTGGAAAGTAAGAGGAAAATGACTACTTGGTTAATGTTGCTTTGACATGAAATGAGGGCTGAGCCACATGAATGACTGCTCTTCAGAGAGGATCACGGGATGCGAGTCAAACTGACAAATATGACAAAGCATCAGCCCCATTCACCCTCTGAAGGAAAAAAAAAATCTACAGCAAGTAAAATGTCAAAAATATAAAGGCACATCTCAGTAGGCACACCTGAAAAAGGAGTTTCACGCGTCCTGAGCAAGCAAATATTTCCACTTAAAGGGGTCATCATGGACGGAGAGTGTTTTAGAAAAGGTTATGGCTGAATCAAATTCCATACCTCTCAATGGGTCTCAACATTTCACTTCAAGACAAGGCAGAATGCAAAACCTTGCTATTGGGAAAATTATTTATCCCTGTTTTAAAAACAGTCATAAACACCAACAGCTAAAAATTGTTGACTTTTCTGATGGCAGTTATCAGCCTATCTCCCTAAGCCTCTTTGGTCAGGTTTTCTCGAAGCAAAATATCTCACCACCAATATTTCAGTCCCAATACAGCAGACATGTTGTGTTTTTTAGCTGCATATATGTAGAACTACCTGAGTAGCCTTGAAGGACTTTGTGATTTCAGTCAGTGGTATCACTTTGATGCTTTCAAAGTAAAGTGCTAACTTTTCAAAATACTTAAAAATCTA